CAACACGAAAATGAACCATCACAATGTCTTTGGGCAATTTTTTGGCATGCCAAAGATTTTGGAACCGCTCACGAAGTTGCTGCCGGAGCTTGTAATATTCAGCCGGGAATCATACGATGGCAAAAGATTCCCTCACGAATGGCACGATGTTATTACGATCAGATCCGAATTTGAACATTTCCTTATTCGTGTGTCCATCTGATGGCAAATTCGGGACAGTGTGACGCCTGCAATACCAAATAACATGACTCATGAGGCTGTGATATTACAAAAAATTTCCTACCATTGACCATTAATATCGAACATTTAACTAAGTCGTAGTCGGTAAACAGGAAGTGGATAAGCGATAGAAACCTGAACTTTGGGAAACAACGTGTTAATGCAGTATCATAATACCAAATATCAAGAGGCTGTGATATGTAGTTGCTAAGAAAATTTGTTACAGAAAATTTTCCTTCCTGTTTTAAAATTAATGGCGAAAAATTACAGAACTAGGTCAGAAAAAACGAAGAGTGGATGAGCCATACCTGAAATCCTAGCTTAATTAATTTGGCGTGAACGGTTTTTGCCCATTTTACAGACTTTTTTTTATTACTGTCAAACCGTTACGCCTAATTTTAAACTGTCATTTTTATGCACGGAAAAATTTACCGGCAACACATCGGTAGTTTTATTAGATTTTTTCATTTAAAATAGCAATAATTGTTCTAATTTTTGCTACATATACACAGTAAACACACTTTCACACAATTGTCAATATAAAAATAACTGTGAAATACCTTTGTATCAATTATTATGCAATTTATTTCTCAATTGTTACCAAAACATTTCCCAATACAAATGGCGGATGACGTCACTCGTAAAAATTTGATATCGTGAAAATTGGTAGTAAAATTCAGGGTGTTTAACCGGTAATGTTGAAGTTCGCGTCTGTTAAATTTCTCTTGTTTTTTTTTGTTTTTTTTTTAAAACGTTTCTTTTAAATTCTGCTATTTATGTAATTACAAAGATTATACAGATTATGACATGTTCCAGAAATGTGATATACATTCCGTAATGCTGCATGTAATCATAATTACGGGGAGATCTTTTGTGCGGGGGGATTATAATAAGATTAATTAATATAAAAACCCATAAATCCTTTTTTTTCCCTTTTTATTTTTTTTAAAACTGAAAAGGAATAACCCTTTAAAAAAAAAAAAATCCCAAAAAAAAAACCCCGCTAAAAAACCTTTTTTTTTTTCAATGTTGCATTTTAAAAAGGGCTTTGGTTAAAAAATTTTAAAAATTGCCCAAATAACGAAAAGCATCTTTTTTAGGGGAGTTTTAACCCCGACTTTTTTTCTTTTAAAAGGGGTACCGATAAAGGGCGGGAAAATATACATAAAACCCAAAATTTATGTATATATATTTTTAAAAAACTTTTTATACGTTTTTTTTGTTTTCCCCCTTATTGTGTCAACTCAGTAAAAGTTTTTTTAAATTTCCCCAGTGCTATTTTTACGTCTCTTGTCTAGACGTTTTCTGATTTGTTTTTTTAATTTTCTCTTTTAAACTTTTCAACATTTTTGCAGGGACTCATTTGAAACAATTGTTTGGGAAAGCTTTATGACTCCGACCAAGACTATTTATCCCCAAGTCAGTTTTCTGGCCTAAAGCCCAAAATGAAGTAAAAAAGACGGAGGTCCTTCTTTCTTATGTACTTCTTTTTCTAGTAGGATTCCTTTCTCCAGATCCACCCAACCCAAAGAAATATATTTTCCTGAATGGCTGTCCCAGACCACCAGCAAGCCTTCCGTTGCCTATCCAAAGTTTCCCTTTGAATATTTAGATCCGCGCCGTCTTATATAACTTATCTTCGTAAAGAAATTGTTATTGATACATCACCAAACTGTAATATATACCAAAATAGACAGGAAATGGATAATAACAATATGCAGAAAGAAAAAAGGTAATTAAAGTAATTTTTATCAGCAATTGGTATTCATCATTGAAAAAAGGCAGGATATCTGAACAAAAAGTGTAATTTATTTTCTATTTAGTTTTAATAATTACTTTATGATTATTTGCAATGCTAACCTTTGAATTCCCTATTTAGAAATTCGTTAACCAAGTCCATTTCATCATTTTTATTTCGGCCACCGTGCAGGTTAACAGTCCTATTCCATGTTAGGTCAAACCTCAATCTCTCTGGTAGCCAACCGTTTAGAGCTGAAAAGAGATGCTGACTATTAAATATTCTCTATGCAAATGTATTATCAAAATTTATCACACACTTATGCCGATTTGGGACTCCGTAAATATGATATTGCAAGGCCGTGCATATATTTTGAAGTGAAGTCATGAGCGCTTTACAGACGCGCTAAATAACTAAAAAAAGGATTGGAGCACCATACTAAATACCGTATTTCCGGTATATACCGGACAAGGCGCGCTTGAATTGATAAAATGATACAATCTTGCCTTTTTACCCAACGGGGAATGAACTTAAATATGTTCTAATTTCATCTTTTCACCACACCGATTTATGTATGATAATGAATGAAAAATGTACAAATCGGCGAAAAAAAAAACGATAATTTTGTCTAACTTTGGGTGATTATAATTTCAAGCGTCTAGAGGTACTGTTCCAATCTTATATTGAAATGTTAGCGTTATACTATAAGCGCGTCAATGAAAAATGAACTCTTATTTTGCTTTAAACGGTGCTTTATTTTGGGGTATTGTGATAAAATGAATATTACATTCGTGTAATTTCATTACTGACTTTTTTGCACTCTTTTAAATTTACAATTATAAATGCTTGGGTTTCCGCAAAACTATAATTTTATTAAAAACTCGTGCAAAAAATTTTCCGATTAAAACTTACACTCTTTTCCAATTTTCCCTTCTATGTATATATTTTTTTTCCCGTTTTAAAATTTGGTATTTTTTTTCCCAAAACCCGGGGGCCCTTTTTTTATTTAATTTAAATTTCGATCAGTTTAAATTTTTATTCCCAATAAATAAAGAAAATAACATTATTAATTTTGAATTAATGAAGAAAAGGTAAAACCCAACCTTTTTTTTTGGGAATTACCCCAACCCTTTAAAAATTCCCTTTTAATTAAGTCCAAAGGGCCAAAAGAAGGGAAATATTTGGTTTTGGGTTTTTCCTTTAGGGAAAAAAATTGGAAGGTCCTTTTTTTCCAAAAAAATAACACCATCATCTTTTCCATTTTTAAATCTAACTCCCTTTCTTCAAATTTCATTTCTTTTCCAGTCCCCCTTCCAACTAATATTCGTTTTTACCCCCGAATTTTCCTTATCAAAACCCCTTCTTCTTTTTTTCAGGGGTTCTTTTTCCGTTTCTTTCCCTCGATCTTTTATTCCTTGCACTTTTTGGGGAAACAATACCAGCTTGTTTTTTTAAAAAGCAGTTTAAAATAAATTAAATGAAATTTTTCACATAAAATGTTTTGGGTATTTTTTAATAAAAAAAAATCTTGGGTGCCCAAAATAATAAACCCTTTTGGGGAACATTTTTTTAAAAATTTTGGGTTTAAATTTTTGGTGAAAAAAAATTGGGGAAATTTCCCAAAAATAGTTTTGGGTTGTGAAATGAAGTAGGTGGGGAAAATTTTTTCCCCTTGAAATATATCCCCTTTTTAAATGTTTTTAAACCCTTTAAGCTTAATTCCCAAAAATTTAAAATTGGGAAAACAAGGGGATAATGCCCCTTAATAGAAAACTTTTAATTTCTTAATTTTTTAAAAAATTAAAAATTGAATGAACTGTTAAAAATTGTACAATGATTTACTTATTTGCTAAATAAAACCTACTAGGGTTTTCTGGAAACGGGCCTCCCGGGTAAATTCCAAAGCCAAACAACCTTTGGAAAACCCAATTGCCCCTTCAAAAATTTTTGGTTTACAAAACTTTTCTATAATGGGTCATTTTTTTAATTTGGTTTTTCTTCCCAAATACGGGTATTTATACGGAATTACATGTTAATCCGACTTTCCCCCAAAACAAAAACCAAAATTTTGAAGGTTTTTTTGTCTTCCGCCCCGGTTTCCAAACGAAACCTTAAAAGGGGAAACCCAAAAATTCCCCTTTTTCACAGCCCCTTTAAATTCTGGCTTTTCCAATAAATGGGGTTTCATCAAATTTTCCTTTTCCCAATTTCTGAAACAAAAAACCAAAAAATTAGAAAAAAAAAAAAGCAATTAAGTGAAGGAAATAAAAAAAAGGCTTTAATTTTTAAACTCAGATTTTCAGGGACAAAAGCCCTTTTAAATTAAAAAGTAAATCCCAAAAATATTTTCCCTTTTCTTTGCGTGACAAAAACCCCTTTTTTTCCCTAACTCCTCCAAATTGATTTCTATCTTTGTATTTTCCCACCCCCATTATTTTTCTTTTCCCTTTTTCCCTTTGGGCTGTTTTTTTAAATTTTTTTGTCCCCTCCCCTGTGTCATCCCATCCCCATCTAAAACGAATATGGGTCATCCAAAATTTCTCCATTTTCCCAGAGGCCCCAGGGCCAAACCAAAAAAACAAACCCCCCTTTTTTTAAAAAAAGAAATCCGTCCCCGGGGTTTAAAGCTCCCCGCAAAAAGTTTTTAAAAAACAAAACCCCTTTTTTTAAAAGGGCCCATTTTTTGAGGGTTAAAAGAGTTCCTTTACCCTGTGAAACTTTCTACCTTTTCCAAAAAAGGGGTAACCATTTTTTCCCCTTAAAAAAAGAAAAAAGCTTTTTTGTTATTTCTTAAACCATAAAAATAAAAAATACTTAGTATTATTTAAAATTTCATGAAATATGAACATCAACATTTTATTTTGATACTTTTGGGGGGTGAATAATAAAATGTATTTTTTTAAACCCATTTACAAACAGTTGTTTTTAACTAAAAAATTCACAAAAATGTGAAATTTTATTTTAAATTTGTGCCTCCCCTTTTATTCCCCTTGCAAAAAATCATCCCGTTTAAATAAAAAATTCCCTTGTGGTGAAGGGTTTTTTAAATTTCCCTTTTACCCCTTTTAAACGGAGTCGCTCCATTGGCACGTGCGTTTTGTGCATCAGCATGACGTTCGCATGACAATCCATCTCCCCATGTAATAATTGGATATAGGGTACCGTCAGCTTCATTTTGGGGAACATAGCGGTGTAACATATCTAAAATGTTTATAACTCCTGCTGTTGTAGATGGATTTTCTTGCAGAACACCTATGTTAAACTGAAATTAAAAAAAAAACACACATTTTAAAATATTAGTAACCACTTCAAATTTTGATGTATGTTCTCACTCGCGCGGACGCACACAAACACATACGCTCGAAAATACACATGTTTTTTTATCAATAACAGTATTCAATTTACATTACAGAATAACGCATGTAGAAGCACTATTTCACATAGGAAAAATCCACTTACTATTTCACTTTTTCGTTTACTTTCTTCTATGTATTTATGGTCTTCTTCTGTCACCATTGTTTTGAGATGAGACAAAAGAGGAACGTGGTTCACTAATATCTCTATCACACTATTTATTAATGCGTCCTTTATCTTTAAAATCTCGGCTTCTTCTAGAAAATACTTCTCCAAAGGTACAGCGGTTGCCGGTATAACAGTTTTATCAATAAGGTGGCTGCTTTGTACACGGTTTTTTGCTACATATGCAAGTGCCCAACTTAAATACTTGTTTCCATGGTTGCGAGTCTGATGACGGGCCTTCACTTGCTTCCCAACATTGTCCCAACAAATTGTATAACCTTTAATTTAAACAAAATAACACTTCACTGATATATTTCTATAAAGTTTTGAAAAGCATGAAATAATTGGCTTTATTACACTTCTGAGTCGCTGTTAATGTGATAAAATCAAATATGTATAATATTGATACTGGTACAGAATATGTATGGAGTGCACTCTAAGTGCTGGTACGTATACTGAATCGGAAACTCAAACAAAATGTCTATTTTTCAGTTTGGAGCAGATTTCATACTAAAAAGATTTTTATTTGCAGAACGGTTTACAAATCACAGTAGATTCTATCAGTTACAATAATTAAGCAGAAAATTACCATGAGGGATGTCTTGAATATTTTCAACATATGGAAGTGTTTGGTTCTTCTAAAACACTTTCTTCAGCAATATCTTCCCATTCATCCATAGATTCAGAACTCTCGGAAGAAACTATTGAAGAGAGCTGAGATATGTCCGTATCATCGTCACTTACACTGGAAGCATCTTCTGTTTCCATGGCAGAATTAGATGGGAAAATGTGTTCCTGTACATAGAAAATTGCATAAAATGTGTCACATAGAGGATATTTAATGAGTGCAGTTCAATACTAAATTTATTGAACGAGTTGTATAAAATCATATTATGCGAGCCTCTGGCGAACATAATATTGTTTTATTCAACGAGTTCAATAAATTTAGTATTGAATCTACACGAATATAATATTCAATTTATTACATATATAAAAATAAGAACAGTAAAACTTTTTTTAAAATTTTGTTTAATTTTTTTAAATTTTAAAGCGGGCCCCTAGTTGGGAAAGCTAACATTAGCAAAGCTTTTAACGCTAATTTCTATATTTCGCAAAAAGACGTCACGTCAAAAGTTTTTAATTACCCCTAGTTTTAATATAGGGTTTTTTTTAAAATTTGGGTTAATTACACTCCTGTTTTTGCGGGTTTAAAGTGAAAAAGAAATCCCCCAAATTAACCAAAAGAGGAATTTAATATGATTTATTCATTCATTTTCTTTCAATTAATTTATCACGAACTTCCCGTTATTAAATAATAATTGTAAAATTACTAAAAATGCAAGGAATAACAACACATAATAATAAAGGTTTATTACTATTTCGTTGCATTTACCTGTAATTCTATCTTCCACTGTTTCAGTCCTTTATCAAACGTATCTGCTAACTTATCTAATGTTGACAACAGCAGGTTTTCAGCAACTGATATTCCGATGTGGTAGAAATCACTGAACAGCTGTAATGATAGATATGCAGACAGTAGTAATACACAATTGAATAACATAAGTAGTATAGCAATTAAATTCCAATTTTTAACAAGCATTTGATAGTATTGCGGGCAATACAGTAGTCCCCTACCGGTCCCTCAAAAAGTTCTTTAATTGTCATACACTCCTGTGTATTGCCATTTATAATGAATTTGAGGATGAAGTCTGTATTTGAAAATATCGACCACAAAACATAATAAAATAAGTTTGTCTATATCACAGTAATGTGTTAAGTTTCCATGCTTAGTAAGGAAATTATGTTTATACAACCTTATCATATTATTACGATGTGGGATTTTAAAGTAAATCCTATAAGGAATGAAGAAGTTGGAGTGAAAATACCAGTTTCTCAAAAAAAATCTAAGTTCAAGGGGGACATAATTCTGGAAATAGTCTTGCTAGAGTATTTAACCTTCTCAAAAATGTCGAGTGATAATAAGAAACATATATATGAAGTTTGAAGTAGATACATTAGGAAATAAAGAAGTTATTTAAAAAAAACAACATTTTTTTCCATAAAAAATCTAAGTTCAAGGGAGGTAATATTGATATTTTTTGTGTGTGCTAGAGTTATAAACCTTGTCACATATGATGTGGTTGATGACCAGGAACTTATATTTAAAGTTTGAAGTAAACACCTTAAGAAATAAAGAACATATAGTGAAAAAGCTGAAAAATTTAAATCAGAAATCTTGAAATTCAGGCTATTTGTTGCCATAGCAACCAGAATTTTCAACATAGGAAGAAAAGAAAAAGATGTGCATAATCTCCAGACTGCCATCTACCCATATTTCAAGTTTCATAAAAATATTTTCAGTACTTTTTGAGTTATCACTGGATCCAGTTTATGTGTTAAATTTGCCATATTTTCAGACTATTTGTTGCCATAGCAACCAGAATTTTAAACATAGGAAGAAAAAAAAAAGACGTGCATAATCTCCATACTGCCATCTATCCATATATCAAGTTTCATAAAAATATTTTCAGTACTTTTTGCGTTATCGCGGGATCCAGTTTTGTGGACGGACGGACTGACGGACTGACAGACTGACAGACAGACAGACAGACGGACAGACAGACGGACAGACAGACAGACGGACGGAGGGTAAACCTAAAGTCCCCTCCGGTTAAACCGGTAGGGGACTAATAAAATATGATATAGATAAATGACAATGAACTAACGGATCTCTTACAGCCGGCTCTCCACATCTGAATTGCATTCATTTTCTGGAACATATTTGCCCTGTGAGGTTTGATCTGAGCTACGATCTGACAAATCAATGAATCAATAACTGGTTTAAAAGATATCTCGCTACTCTTGCCTTTAACGAGCCTTCCTCTGAAAAATGTATTATGTTGTTAAGGCCTGTTTTAATACTTTTTATTATGATTAAATCATTAAAGAACGAAAACGCATATAGTATTTTGATATGCCTAAATATTCTTACAAAAGAAAGAGCGTATTATAACATGAATAAAATTACTCTCAAAATTATGTAATTTTGTAAATTTTACATGTCATTTTAAGAAAGTTATGTCATTTTGTAAATATTACATGTCATTTTAAGGTATGACAATCCTTATGTATTACCTCCTGCTTTGAAGAGCATTAAATTGTGCTAAAATTCCGGTTAACGAAACTTAGGGACGTAGGTTCAAACCCCAGAAGGGTCAACTTTTTTTCTTTAAACATTATGTATGTACCTGTAATATGCCTTTGTTGAACTAAAAACATGTTTAACTTTTAAATTAATATAATACTACATGATATTTTTGAAGTCTAATAAAGTAAAAACTAGACGGTAAAATTATTTAATATTTTTACAAATATAGCGCAAGTTAGGTGGTCATACATTAAGCAATCAAATAGTTACCTCATTAGTGTGTCTTCGTTTCCTGGGTAGGTGCAGGCTCCAACTAAAACATTGAACAATATTGGTGCATGTAACTTGACCAACTGAATTAAGTCATCCCACCTCAAATTACGAAAATTTTCAAAGCTAGCCTTCTTCGTAATTTGAAAATCTTGTTTTAGGAGACACAGCACTTCTTTTCTAACATGACGTACCAACAAACTGATTAAATCACGTTTTGCCGCCTTTGATCGTTTTATAAACCATCGAAACCCTGCCTTGTAATGGTAGTTGATTATATATTTGGATCCAGTAGACAGTGTATATTTCTGAACCTACAACATGCACACAATCATATTTACGTTTTATATGAGAATAACAATTTATAACATTGTGATTGTTATAAGTAAACATTAAACTGTGACACTATTTCATTATTACAGCTGAAAACGCTCTCGATAATCTATGTAAACACTATATTTGCTTTTAAGTTATTTATTACTGTATAGTTTTTTTTATATATATATCTGTTTATTTATGTATCTGTATAATGTAGTCTCAATTTTTCGACGGCAAGACAGACCGATTTTATAATCTGATATTTCATAGATGTCTGTCTTCCATCGTATATATAAAAAAAGCCCTAAAGCGCACAATTTGTTGGGCTACTGTATATAGTGTATAATGTTGACAGGGAAATGAACCATTTAAATAAAAAAAAAAATGTATGCCCTATCACATCTCATAAATGAATTTGTTTTCATTATAACGTTTTCACATTTAAAATAAATTAAGAAAAGTTTATCTAAACAACGAGCTAACATGCATGACTGTCACCTCTACGGAAAAATATCGCTGTAGTGCCGTAAAAACATGTGTATAAATTTTAATCGACAGAAATTTGAACTCATTAACCTACCCTTCCCTTTAAAGGTGTAGATGTGAAAATCGTGCTTTTGAATTTTTTTCTGTGGAGTAAAGGTTGCTTTCTTTTTCCGTTTTGTAGATACATAAGTTCCAGGCAATGTCTTGTCAAAAAGTTTCTGTTTAGATGATTCTCCTATACTTGCAGACATTAACAGTTTCTCGCACTCTAAGCACAAAAATCTTTCATCACGTTTTCCTTTTGGCGTAATTGTACTCCCTAATATGTCCTGTATTACTTCTTCGCTATGTTCAAGTGTCAGTAATGGTTTTCTTCCATAACTCTTCTTGTAGACCTTAAACTTCTCACCACAATTTGAGCATTCCATTTTAACACATGCTTTAATAAATGATTACTAGCATCTCTCATTTATTTTAAGATTCCATTTCCCAACATACAATGCACGCTGTATATATAGATCATCAACTGTACAATTATGGAACCGGTCAATATAGACAACGACCAAACAGATGCGACGCGGCATTATCTTTGATCATTTGACCAGGCCTCCGGGGCAGAATAATATTTGGCACCAAGATTGACATGTTTATATAAAGTTCGGCTCAGTTACGTAAAATAAAGAGAACGCTTTTTTTCGAAATGGATGATAATGTGTTACAAAAAGTAAAAGTAGAGTTTGGGTTTAACTTCGATCTGAAAAAAGAGCAGTTAGAAGTTATTGAATCAATAATAAAAAAGAAAGACGTGTCTGCAATTCTACCAACGGGCTTTGGGAAGAGTTTATGCTACATTATACCACCGTTGTACTTAGACGCTGTAAGTATTATGTTGATTATTCTTTATATAATTTTACGATACATGTATATTTTAAAGCAGCACGCCTCCAGATTCATGCTTATTTTCAATATAAGTTTGATTTCCTTTAAAAATAATTTGGGGGCTCATCTAGATGCATGAGCTTTTAAGAATAGGCAATAACTTTAACACGTTTCTATAAATAAACTTGATTATATCGAAAGATTTCTACTTCGACAAAAATCTGAACGACGTTTTAAAAAGAATAGAATTATTTGTAGAAAATAAATTTTATACACTTAATATAAATTTAAAAATAAATAACTCAGTAAAAGTGATGAAGGTAAAAGATAAATGAATATTTATTCTTATGTTTAACTGATAAAAAATGTGGTTTATCTTCAAGGTTGAAGCAGGCATCAGGCACATCGCTTTGGTGATATCCCCTTTATTGAGCCTTATAGAAGACCAGAGAAGAGAGCTTGAGAATCATAATATTTCATCTTTGGGTGTTACTCATGAAACATTCACAGATTTGGATGGTATTTAAATTTAGTCGCAAAGTTTGATTATATAGAGTTATGAGTCTAACAATAAAACTCATCATAACTTTTGAAATATAAATGAAAAGCTGTGCGAGAAATCAATATCATTTTCAATAATTCAATTATTTATATCATAATTAATTCTCTTTCCTTCATGTAATATACATTTTACTTAAATTATGAAAGTCATTTGTTTTTGTTTTTTGTTGTTCGTAGATTTATGTAAGGCAGACGCATCGATAGTTTTCACTACACCTGAAGCTCTTCAAAATAAAAATTGGAGAAAAATATTGTTGGATGAAAACTTCAAGAAAAGATTGTGTCTTATAGCTTGTGATGAGGCTCACTGCATATCTGACTGGTAAGTTACATGTATTATTTGTTGAAATGTCCGCATGTTTATTAGAATATAAAAACAAAACAATACAAAATGAGTCATGATTTGGCTATTTTTGATATTTTAGTCATCAATGCGCACATGTTTCACGTGCGGCCTTATTAAATAGACAACATGTGCGCAGGTAGAAGTTTACATGTGTTCATTCCTGAAATGATCTACTTCTCATGTTCAAACAAAAATGCTAAAACGTACGCGTGTAATTCTAACAGGCACACGTGTAAAAAATGCGTGTGATATCCCATTTATGCCACCGAAAATACAAGCATAAAATATGTTTAATAAAACAGACATAAAAAAGACCACCCCCCCCCCCCCACACACACACATACACACAGCCTTCAGATATATCCTGTGTTTGATGAAGTATCTATCCTGTTTGATAAACTGAAACATATTTCAGGGGTGAAGACTTTAGACCCGAATTTAGGGAAATATCTTCAATTAGGAGCTTTATAGATGCCCCGTTTATAGCCTTGACAGCTACAGCTACAGACAAAGTACAGGAAGATATATTCAGATACCTTTTGTTCGACGAAGACCTCACTGTTTCAGTGGCTGTTATACCAGACAGGTATTTATGCTAAAAAGCAAATGAACGACTTAAATGTTTATTATTTATATATAATTGATTGTGCCCTTCCGTTGTAAAATTAGAATACCTAAAGGTCAATTGTTACAATAAAGTTTTTATACCAAAAAAATAAATAAATAAATCAATAATAAATATAACAATAATGGTCATTTATTCTCTTTTATTAGGCCAAATATCTTTCTTCAAGTAAATGAAAATTGCACAAGAGACTTTCAGTCCGAGCTAGAATGGTATTTGAAATATCTCCTGGAAACCGACGAATGGAAGAAAACAATCGTTTTCTGCAGGTATGCCATTTTGAGCAGAAATCAAGTCTTTTATTGAAAATCTTATTGATTGGTTTATTTCATGTAGATTTTTTTTATCGAAGCATGGTGTAACTGACTGAAAAAAAATATTTATAAAATTTTCGTTTTTCTCAAGAAATTAACGAAAGCAATATAACACATTTAAAACTAAAGTTGAGATTTTATTTCACATAATTTTATGAAATTCAGGTCTTATTCACAAGTGTTTGAGGTATGGGCTTGGCTGGTGGACGCTCTTGGAGATCGTGTTTTTACTCAACACAAGATATCTGCAAGGAGTAGAAAAGTCGAAATGTATCATAGTTCAACAGACGCAGACACCAAAAGGTGGATAATGGAGGACTTTACGAAATGTGACAGTACGATCAAAGTGCTAGTGTGCACTATAGCCTTTGGCATGGGCGTCAGCATTTCTGATACAGAAATAGTAATTCACTGGGGAGCCCCGAAGAGCATACTTGCTTACTGGCAAAAAATTGGAAGAAGTGGAAGAAGTGGCCAGTATTCATATGCCATTATGTATCCGTACAAACATTCACTGATTAGTAATATGGCAACAGAGGAAATAAAAACCTTGTCTAAATCAAGCGAATGCCTAAGGAAATACGCTTTGACAAAATTAGTCACAAAAAAGATGAAAGGGGAACTCCCATCCAGTGAAAACTGTGTAACAAACAATTGCCAAATCTGTGCTTGTGCAGCTTGTAGTTGCTGTTCCTTTTGCTACAAACTTTGCCAGTGCAAAGGAAAGCTAGATGCTTGGTCAAAATTGTTGTTGTAGGAGAATGTGAAACATTAAAGTTAAATATCGCTGGATATTCAGTTTTATGTATATTTCCCCTATATTCAATCGACGATATCATCAACGCTGAATGAAATTTTGTACGTAAATAGATATTAGGCCAAATTTTAGAAATATACGTAGATCTACATGTATTTCTAATCAATAAATTAAATAATTTATTTTAAAAATATTTTTTTCTAATGGATTAATCGCGTCTATATCAATTAACTGATTATCGTTTGATTTTATCAGTACATCAAGTATTTCCTCATTTTAATATTAATAATAACGAATATAAAGCCATGACAGGTAGTTCACGATACCCGTGTTACACCGTGTCATTTTTGAGGAAATGTTTACCAATGCACCGGTTACGTCATTCCCTCTATTTCCAATATGTCCGCTTGTGTATATTTTCACCGATTTGAAAAAATAAAATGGAATATTGTGTTTTAAGTTCAACTTTGAAGAACGATAATTTGGATTTTAATATAAAAAACAGTGCTCTTTCAGGTAATGTAGACCGTTTCTTCTAAACTTATTTAGTTTTCGCTCCCAACAACTTCTAATTGGGAAGCGTCCGTGCATAAAAATGCAGTTCGTGGTTGGACTTGGAAAAAAGACAGCGCCCGTCCAAAATTATCTCGGTGTCTCTTTGACAAGTCTAATTAGTTGGACTACCTGAAATCATATCAATGCTGTATACCAAACATATAGAGGCTGTAATAAGTAGTGGCTGAGAAAATTGTTACGAAAAATTCGTACAATTGACCATTATTATGAATTTAACTAAGTCAGTAAATATGAAATGGATGAGCGACAGACCTTAAATCGAATCCCATGGTATGGGACAATGAGTTAATGTTGTATACTAAATATCATGAGGCTCTGATAAGTAGTTGCTGAGAAAACTGTTAAGAAAAATCGCCCAACCAATTCGCCTGCCTGCCCGGAATAAAGTCTCAATGCATGATGGTAAACAGTATTTTTTTTCATATAGTTATGTAAATTTTTTTTCGAAAACCAGTATTATAGTTGTAACAGATATCCCATTAGTGTTTGAATATTAAAATATTTTTGATAGTGTTTACTCAGGGGTATCATGTTGGCCCAAGCATCTGTGGTTTATCATATTAGAACACCTTTTTAAAAAAAAAAAAACAACAACAAACAGCATGCAAGGACCTCAGGAAGGTCAGAATTTCGTGTGGCAGCCTGTTTGACCAAAATTTTCATGAGTCAATTCAGTTTTTTCTTCTCTTATTTTTCTACATGAACCATTTTCATGTTTCAAAAATGAATTCAAAAATTATTGTTTTGAAAGTCGTTTTGAGAAGATTTTCAAGTTTAAATTGATTATATTGTGAGGTAAGGTTATTTTAAAATTACGCATTTTTTTTGCTTAGTTAACAATATGATAAAGATAATTAAGTATTACTAGCACCATGGATAATTACCATAATTATTGTTCCATTTTCACTTACATTTATTGAGGTCAATAACACATGTGTACATAATTTTATAAATCATAACACGGACGTCGGGAGGGGATATTTACATAAATACTGCATGTCATGCCTTAATACTTCACAAATAGTTAACAAAATACCTGTTTCAACAAAGCACACAGATAATTGTATTCATCTTCACTTCTTTGTTATGAAATACGAGTTTATGTTACAAAATTTCTCAATTTTCTGGCGGACGTTTCGTCATATTATGATACTTCCGGTTTAGTTCTATTTATAATCTCAACTCGAGGTCAGATTGATACAGACGTTTTCTGAGGATGGACTGATTGGTATGCATTATTTACTGATTTGAATCGTATGTTTGTTCACAGAATGAAATATTATGACATAATTCGTTCGTCAGTAAGAGCTGTGTACACGATGTTGAAATATATGATTTTTCCCGCAAACCGGAAGGATACAAAAAGTAATATCCGTTCTGTAAATTTAACTTTTATCTTAATTTAACTAATTTTTGTGGAAAAAAACAACATTTTTTGTTCACTTTCGTTTCTTTGTGCAATATCTTACACAATAAAATGTGCAAGTCATTGTCAAGAACCGAAATATTTTACAATGTATTTCGGAAATGACACAGTCTTCCTTTCTGATGGTGTTACGAAATTAATGGAAGAATCCATTATTGAATGGGGAAATCAGTTTCACTGTAGCTCTCAAATTTGTGCTATTCTGATTAACTCTTTTTTGAATTAACATTCACATTCAACAAACTTTTCATCTTTCTTATGCTTTAACAGAAAAATCTTCATAACAATGTCTGTTGAGACAAAAAATACCAGATACACTATCTCAATTTATCCCTACAAAGAAAGTTTATATAACCTTGCAATATAAACCCCTTTAACTCCCAAAACAGAGACCAATTTTCAACTCTAAACCATAATTTGAATATACATTGTAGAAACTAACAAGCTAATGACTTGTGAGAAATATCTAAGCTCTAGCCCTTTCCATTTTGAAGTATAAGAACTTTTAAGTTTTTTCTTTTAGTTGCCATAACAACCAGAGTTTAGCATGGAATGGCATTCTTTGAACAATCTTGATAGAGCTTCATACAAAGAGTATTCCTGCCAAGTTTCATTAATATTGGCCAGGTGGTATTGTAGAAGATGTCGTTTGAATAAAATGTGGACGGAAGCCGGACGACGGACACATTTGGTTGGCAATCCTAAAAACTTAAAATATCTTCTTTTAAAGAACTCAAAGAGCTAGAGCTAAGATATTTAGCAAAAAACATGTTCAAATGGGTGTCTACCAAGTTTGTTCAAATAAAAGCCCTGGGGACAATATTGGCCTCCCCCCGGGGGTCATTGATTTTCCTTATATTTGTATATCAAAAACTTAAAAAATCTTCTTTGAAAAAACCCACATAGCTAGAGTTTAGATATTAAGCATGAAACATCTTCTAGTAAGTGTTTACAAAGTTTGTTCAAATAAAAGCCCTTGGGTCAAAATTGGCCCCGCCCCGGGGGTCATTGATTTTCCTTATATGTGTATAGCAAAAACTTAAAAATCTTCTTTGATAAAACACAAATAGCTACAGTTTAAATATTAAGCACGAAACACCTTCTAGTAAATGTCTAGAAAGTTTGTTCAAATAAAAGCCCTGTGGTCAAAACTGGCCCTGCCCCAGGGGTATCATTGTTTTTAACTATATGTGTATAGTAAAAACTTAAAAAATCTTCTTTTAAAAGCCCAATGAGCTAGAGCTTAGATGTTAAGCATGAAACATCTTCTTATAGGTATCTACCAAGTTTGTTCAAATAAAAGCCCTTGGGTTAAAATTGGCCCTGCCGGGGGGATGGGCCATTGTTTTTCATTATATGTGTAGTAAAAACTTAACATCATGAAACATCTTCTAATGGGTGTCTTCCAAGTTTGTTCAAATAAAAGCCCTGGGGTTTAAACTGGCCTCGCTCCGGGTGCCTATATACAGGTGAGCGACCTCAGGGCCATCATGGCCCTCTTGTTGACTCTTGTCATCAATTTTGGTCAGCATGCTTGTCTAAGTAATTGCTCGGATGAGTTCGAAGGGTCAGGTGAGCGATCCAGGGCCATCATGGCCCTGTTGTACCAATGATACAGTGGCTCCCAATAATCCATTTTCGATAAGTTCTGTCCTAGAGATAAGATTTTAGTTTTTCATCTGTTCATGAACTACTATACCATGCATCCTTTTTTTAAAATGTTTAATAGATAAATGCTTGTGATTGTAAAGATTGTTTAGAAATACTATTTATATGTAATACATATATTTATGTAAATTTGTGTTTTTGTATTTCTTTGATCCTGTTATTGAAACAACTGAAGACGCTGTTTAATTAATTATCTGTTGTTTTTTTTTCTCTTTTAAAAGTAAGTGCCTCTTTTTTTGACATGATGTGCAAATACTACTGTTTTAAGTAACTTGGCTATTATATTTGCACTAGAATTAGTGTCTTGAGGGATGAAAATGAGAAGTTATTGAAGGGGTTATTACGTTCTTAGGATTACCAATGGATTGAAGATACAATGGGAAGTAACTTTATGCAATGAAAATAAGTAAACACAGAATAACCTCCCCTTTGAATTGCAAATGGAATGGTGGTTTTAAAGGGAGGTAAATCTAGGTACAAAATTGTCATACCTTTCTTTAAAGTAGCAAACGGCGTATAAATCATGCTAATTTTCATGAAAATTTTAAAAATGTATTTAAAAGTA